ATTCTATTCCATCTTAGATGGAGGAGAAGAAAAAACGAGACCTCCTTCTACGGAAGTGACTCATCTCTGCACCACCCTCCTCGGCCTGCGGATGAGCACAACAGCGGTGCCCCCGGTGCGAGTACCTCCGGGAGCACAAACACGACGAAAAGAAGCGACACTCCTCGCAGGGAGCAGTTTCCGTCACCGGGACCCCGCATGCCGAGCCCCGGGGGGGCCTTACAAACGCCGGGACCCCCGCATGCTGAGCCCAGGGGGCGCCTTACAAACGCCGGGACCCCCGCATGCTGAGCCCAGGGGGGGCCTTACAAACGCCGGGACCCCCGCATGCTGAGCCCAGGGGGGGCCTTACAAACGCCGGGACCCCCGCATGCTGAGCCCAGGGGGGGCCTTACAAACGCCGGGACCCCCGCATGCTGAGCCCAGGGGGGGCCTTACAAACGCCGGGACCCCGCATGCTGAGCCCAGGGGGGTCCTTACAAACGCGGCCGCAGTGCGCACAGTGTGCGGCACATCCTCTCCCCTCTCCCCTCTCCCGGGTCTGGGCGAGCGCTCACCTCGGCGACCTCGATCCTTCTCGCCAGGTCATCCAGCGACAGGCTGCCGTCGGAGGGGGAGGGCGGGTCGTCCTGGAGGCTGTAGGAGGCCTCGTCGGGGGACAGGTCCGGGAGGAGGTCGGGGTCGTCCTCCTCGCCGGAGGGGGAGTCCTCGGCGCCCCGCAGGCACCCCGCCAGCAGGCTGCTCAGGTAGTCCTCCGCCTCCCGGCTGACCCGCGCGTCCGGGTCGCCCCGCCCCTCGGGGGCCAGACGCCCCTCGGGCTGCGGCGGCTCCTTCAGCTCCTGGTGCGCAGGGGGGTCTGTGGGCAGCGCCTCGGAAGCATCCGGCAGTGGCAACTGGAGGTCCCTCCTGGGAGCCTGTGCTGGGTGACCCCCGGGTGCAGGGTGACCCCCCGGTGCAGGGGGTGCCTGCTCCGGCCCCGTCACTGCCTCGCTGGAGGGGGGCTCCGCGGGGTCTTCAGCTCCGCGGGCCGCCGGGGGAGCCGGATGAAGCTGGAGTCTTCCACGGTGTTCTTTTGTCTATTTGCCGGCGTCTGTCAAATTTCTTGAATGGCGGTGTTTTGTAGCTCAGATATATATTTTTTTTTAGGGTGGGGGGGGATTGGATTGGTATTTTTTTTTTTTTTTTTA